GGCATTCGGCAATGCTGACCTAACTGCCCACTATAAAGTGTTTGAGATTAGCATATAATTGCTGACCTCGTTTCTATGTTTTATGGTGAGATCTTTGTATCAAAATTTTTTTGCCGACCTGATGCTGACCTCTAAAAGATTGAGGTCGGCAAATTATTGCCGACCTTGTTTTTTTTAATTTCGAGGGTTGATATATATATATATATATATGCATGTATATTTATATATAAACATCATCATGATTATCATCCTTATGATCAAGACCATTATAATTATCATCATCAAACTATAGCCTTTCCCTTTTATGCTGTTTAAATCTAATAAAAAAATTTGAGCATTTTTGTTCCTTAACTAAAGCTCATTCATACCATATGTAACGCCTTTGTTTTTGCTTGTTGGTTTTAAGTCAAGTCTTTTACTCTACATTTTTTATCCAAAATAAGGCAGTGTATTTTGCAGATTATCTTATTGGTAACAGATTAATTTATTGGTAGACATCCAATTTACTCTGGTCCAAAAGTGTTCTCCAGAACTCTCTTAAATCCTCCCTAAAAATTATTAAGTGCTAAACAAGTGGTTCCAATATTTAAAAACTCTAGAAAACACTCTGACCTCTCTAACTATTCTAGGACTAGTCTTCTATCTAGTATTAGTTTTTTTACTGCTCGTTTGTTTCTTATCTACAATAACAATCTTACATCTAAATTTGCTAACAACTCAATTTAATACTCTTGTCTTGTCAAAAAGTCCACTTTTTGATTGCTTCGAGTAAACATTCAACCTTAAATCTGATCTCACTTCTGTAACAGAAGTGAGATCAGGAGCATTCAGTGGCCTGTGAGTTTTAACTCCAACAAAGCTCAGTTTTTACTGTGAACAACTATCACAATATTGTTGATATTTGTATTTTGAATGTAAATGACAACCCTCTCACTCTCAGACATAGTCCAATAGCACATTGTAAATGTAGCTGGACCTGCTTTATCTGCCAAATTTGAGCCACTCTCTGATTATTGTAAGGTTCTTTCTACAAATACTACTATGGTTGCTGCTCAAACAAATTATCATCTCTATTTCAATCAAACAAAACTCATTCTCGCTTGACTTGTCATTCAGTAAAGTCACATCCTTTTACCATATCTGTTATTCAATGTTATATAATTTTTTATTCATTGAGTTTATTTCCTTGCACATCAACAAAATCCTAAAACTCTCATCCATCTTTATGTTTTCCTGATCATATAACCTACAACTTTTTAAGTTTTCACTTAACTGTTTCCTTTCTCTTTAACCTTATCATTTATTTTCTAGTAACTCAAAACTTAATAAATAAGAAGTATGGTAAACATTCTATTGTTTATCAGTGCATCTGGTAATAAAACAAGAACCTTGTATGCATTTTGAATGAGTCCAAAAAATAACTCTTAAAATACCTAAAATACTTTATCTTAAACAAAATCAAATTATAAAATTATAAAAAAAATATTTCAACTTTTAGACATAATTATCCTTACTATTAAAATATTTTTCTAATTTTCTTTTTGTTATTACTACAATTATCATCAGTACTTTTTTGTTTGTTTATTTTTTTATTTTATTATTATAACCTGCAAATTATTTCTACATGTTAATGTACGCTCTATCTTTTTTAATCTATATGTTTATGGTCCATGTGTTTAATGTGTAATAATAAGCAATCCATGTGTAAGCAAAGACATACATTGGTGTGTCTTCTTATTACTTATATTTAAAATTAGTGTGACTCCTTTTAGATTTCTGTGTGAGTGACACATTCCTAATAAATCATTAACTTATTATTATAAATGATTTTATGCTTATAACTACCATTATAATATTTATTATTATCATTTTTCATTGTAATTATGTAAACATGCTTATTATTACTATTACTATAATTTGTATTAATTTTGTTATTTTATATTATTATATATTGTTGTTATTGTTACTTATATTATTGTTGTTATTATTATTTTTATTTTTATTAAAACTATTGTAAAAATAATTTTTAGAAAATAAATAGCTTGTTGTTGTTATATATAATGCCAGTAATTAATAGTAAATTTATAATAAATAAAGTATTGTAAATTTTTTTCTAGCTCCGGCTATCAACCCCCTATAATTTATTATAATTTTATAATTTAATAACTCTTATAATTTTACTGGGTTTGGGTTTGTAAAAAGTCCCATTTTTTGTGTACTTAGTTTAACACTATTTTAATTACTTATTTATTATTTACATGTACTTTTATATTACATTACTTTTATATGTACTTCATTATATACAAACACACAGTGCTATCTCGTCACTGTTCTATATACATATATATATATATATATATATATATATATATATATATATATATATATATATATATATATATATATATATACATACATACATACATACATACATACATACATATGTGTGTATATATATATATATACATACATATGTGTATGTATGTGTATATATATATATATATATATATATATATATATATATATATATATATATATATATATATCAGGCCTTGTTAAGAATATTTGAATTTTATGTAGCTTTTACTGTTTATGTCAATTTCACCTACAGGTTAAACCATTTATGTTAAGCCAAATATTTTTTTCAATTATGTTGTTTAAACAGTCTTTTAAAATCATTAATGCAGAAATTATTCATAGAAAAAAGCCA